TTTAAGGTTAAATTGTGATCCATTGTTATTTTATTTCGCGAAAATAACATCAATTCGATAATTGTTGATATTCTGAAAATAAATTATAATTTTAGTTATAAAAATAAAATATTTCGTTAAAGAAATAACTTTCGATTTGAAATTATCCATTCAATGAGAAGTTCTTCTTGTAAATCGTGTGACACTCTATAGGCTTGGCTGCTTGACAATCATTCAATGGATTTTAATTTAAGATTCTTGAAAATTTAATTAAAATACTTGAGAGTTCCTTAGTGTAATTGAATTTCACAGTTTTGAAAGAGACTTTTAACTACGAGGCCTTTTCCTAAGTTAAGAAGGATTTTTTTTTCGTTTAATTGCTTTTATATAAATCAAATAAAGTTAATTTCAATTCTTTTCTCTTCATAATAATTAAACAAATTTTTATTTACAAAGGTCTAAAAGATACCAAGAAATAATTTCCTAAGGCTTTCTCTTCTGATTTTTTTTTTTAAATAACAGATATAAAGATATTACGTTAAATTGTTTAAAAATCAATCATTTTACAAAGTCAATCGTATAAAATTGTCCAGGGATTAATGTTCGTAAACTCGTGCTATTTGTACAATAGCTTTCAACATGATCGTACGTAAATCCACTTCGTTAAATACGATAAAGATCACTTTTAACAAACCATCTATTGTAAGCTTTGTTTAATTAATCATTGATTTATTTGCTGTTTACAATTTTTTAATGCAAAAATATCCAGTCCAGGATAAAACGTAATTGAAAAATAAATTATCTATTTATTGCGTTTATCTTCAATTTTCACGCTGAACAATCAATTTCCTAGAATTAGAAGTAAAATTTTAAAACGTCGATAAATAAATTGTTTATATTTGCAATTTCCATACAACATAATTTTTTAAATATTCTCTATTACGTACGAATATTTTTTTTCATGCAATTCCATGGTTTCTATCTGTGTATAACATTATATGATTCTAAGATCATAGAAAAATAATTCGTTCTCAATCTAAATTTTTCATTGTCTTTCATTTTCATTCATGTCTGTTGTTTTAACTTCCATCTGTTTTTTTATATTCTCGATCTGGTTTAAATATTCTCCAGTGGAAGATTCCTCAATATAATTATTTATTTGTATTTTCCATTTTCGGAATTATGATTTTTCTACAAGATATAAATAAATTAGAAAGGAAGAATATAAATAAATAGCAAATAAATAAATAAAATAACACAAAGAAATTGAATTCTCAAATTTTAATAAAAAAAAATATGAGTTTTGATTACCAATTTAAAATAATTTCCAACCAAATGATCGATTTTTTTCGATTTTCCTTATTTCTCATTCCCTTTCTCTTTTCGTTTTTCTTTTTCGAATTTTTCCGCTCTTCGAGTTGAAGACAGTAATGTGCTCGATCAAATTTCACGGAAGTCGATTCGAAAACTCCGGAAAAGCTATCATATTCCTCGTCGTAGAAAGATCCAAGTAGATTCGGTCGTTCTTTGATCAGGCTCGGTGAGAGGTAAGTAGCTTGACTCGCTCACTAGTCGGACAAAAGTGGTCGCATCGTGCGCTCAAATGACCGTATAAAGGATCGTATAAAATTTTTAACGTATCGTTGCATAAAACAGTATTTTCAAAATGGTATGTATTCAAATACATCTCAATCTTGTATCTTTTTCAAAATCTTTTTATTTATTCGTTGTTTTTCATTTCGATCGATTCAAATTTCGAACGATTATTTATTATCTCTTTGAACGTCTCATTCTTGAACGAATCATTCTTTCTCACCAGTTTTCTTACAATTACAATTGGATTATTGATAAGTTATATAAATTGTATAAAAAGTAAAATTAACGTCGAGCTCGAATTGTTATAATTCGACGATTTTTGAAAAACAAAAAAAATAAATTTAAACTCCAATGAAAAATTTGTATATCGTCATGAATATTAAAAGATATTATCACATAAATCGTTCTTTTTATCATTATATAAAAATACAATGATATTTATACGTTTTAATCCATCTTCTAAAAAAAAAAAAACTTCTTTTCTTTCCGTTTTAAATACTTCGCTTATATGTTCCACTCTTATCTGATATTTGCCAATTTCTGGAAATGCAAGCCTCGAGATCGCTTATTCAATGGTGTGGCAATTGAAAGGTTAATACTATGTTCGATAAGAGGGAATTTCCTCGGTACCGGATACGAGCGACGAGGATTTAGAAGAACGAAGAATTAGCGATCATAGGTAGGAGGCACTTTGTACTTAATCGAGCTAAAAACACAGTTTTTACTTTGGCTTTAAGCACCATTGAATAAGTAGCGAATGAAAAGAATAAAAGAAAATTAAAAAAGAACGCAGAAAGGAAGGATTAAAAATTTCCTGTAAATTCTAAATCTTTTTCATGGAATTAATAATAAAATTATTCGAGGTAGAGTAATAAAAAAAAAATGGAAGAAAATGATCGAAAGGTTAATTTTTCGATAATTAATTATACAATTTAGAACAGATTTTCTCGTTGTCAGTCTAGTAATAGCCAACAGATTAATAAATTAGATAGGAGACAGGTACAAAAGACCAAAAAGACGTAAGACTATAAAACTGTCTTCTTCCTCATAATTCACCATTAACATCGAATAAAAGTTTTTTCTAAATATTTTTCAACCTATTTCTCTTTCGATGGTTTCACTTTAACCATTTTTAATCATTCTTAAGTGTACGTAAAATCTAAGAAAATTATCACTTTCGAAATTTGTGATTTCTCTTTTTTATATATATATATTTATTATTTATCCAATAAACTTATCGAGTAAAATAAATATTCATAATTCGTTAATTACAGATTTTATAACGAATAAAATTTTATTGATATAGATTTTTAAATGTTTTTTCTTAACAGAAAAATGTTTTTTCATGATTTATGATAACCATTATTGCTATAATATATAAAATTTGTCGTGAAAATATCGAGTAAAATATCAGTTGAACGTTACATGTACAGTACTGTACAGAAACGTTAAATTATCTACATTATTGATTTTGTGGCTACAGAAGTTTTCAAATATTTTCATCAAAATATTTTCATAAAAAATTTGTTAATTAAAAGAGCTAATTTATATATATTATATATATTTTTTATATATATTTACTCATCGGAATTTAAAAATTAATTTTCATCGTGTTTATACGTTTCGTTGTCATACAAAATATTTAAATATTGTTCATTTATCCATAATTTCATAAATAAATTACATTCTAATGAAAGAATAATTAAGTTCAAACTATTCATTTCGCGTATATACTTGTAATATCTATCGAATGTATGTTTTCACAGTATTTAAAAGATAAATACCAACCATGCAAATATCCCACGTAATCTCCACGTAAAAATGAATTCAACGAATGCCAAATATGTGATATTCAGATTTAAGAAAAATCTGCATAAATATGACTTAAAACTTCGTATTAATAACTCAAGAAATATCAAAATTTTCATTGTAAACTTAAAATGATTTGTTTCAAAAACTTCCATATTATTCAATTCAAGCTTCTATATTAATTTCCAGGGTATCAAGATGCAAACAAATTATGAAAGTTTTAAAAAGAAGTCCTTCATAAGGGACTGAAACAGACTGAAAATCCAAATTCCAACTCCCATAACAATTTCCTCGTGCACACACCCCCACGGATCAAACACTACCGACCGCAACTGTGTATCTCCAAATCCCTTATAAACAGACTAACTGTCCACCAATCTTCCATCACACCTCTCTCTCTAACTCATCAACTTTAACGTACATTAATCAACTCTTTAATCCAAGTGATTTATTATTCACCTCAAACCAATTCTCATATGTGTTGATGCACATCTTTCTTTGGAAAAGATATAGCTGTTTCAAAAAGTATTTATTTATAGTATTGATGTAATTAATTAGATCCTTATTATAATTAATAATATACTTTCAAATATGTACACTAATTGTACATCATAAAGTTATATCTTTATTAAGTCGTTTATTTCATGTATCACTTCAAACCAGTCTTCATATGTATTGATGTATATCTTTCTTTGGAAAAGATATAACTGTTTCATTTACTTGTTGTTGCCGATGTAATTAATTAGATTCATATTATGTTTAATTTTCAAATATATATTTATGTTTATATTTTCAAATATATATCAAATATAGTTCATTTTAAATCATCTACTCCAAATCATATATCATAACACATATTGGTATTTTCTTTTTATGTAAAATAACAATCTTTCTTAAGTTTTCTCTAAAAAAAAAATCTTCAATATAACCGTCAATTCTCAATGAATTATTCAATTTCAATTCTTAGCTAAGATTTAATCCATCCATCATGCACACCTCATAGATCCTATAATATATAAATATATCATATTAACGCTTTCTCTTCGCATGTAAGACATCGATCCTTTCAACCCTTCGAAATTTATTGACAGTGTACATCTCAATCTCTTCTCTTCTCGTGCAAAACAACGAATTTTTTTCCTACAAAAATATCGTTCAAAATTTAACGTAAACCGAAAATTCACTTCGTAAACTTCATTTCAACACATCTCAGTATTTTCTCTTCTTGTTCAAAACAACAATCCTTTTTCCCTCAAAATTCCATCAACATTTCCAAAAATTCAACTCATCTCAATCTCACTTCTCTTTCCATGCAAATCATCTTTTCCCCCCAAAACTTACCAACGTTCATTCAAAATTTAAACTCAGAAATTCACTTCCAAAACTCCATTGCGCAAAATAAACAATTCTCCCTCAAAAACTCTATCAACATTTCCAAAAATTTAACTCCAATCCCAATAACAACTCAAACCTCCCCATATATCCATACACATCAAAATACTGCACATCTCAATCTCTCTTCTCCCCTCCATACAAAACAACGAATCCTTTTCAACTCACGCTCCAGATTCAAAATTTAACTCGCTACATTAAACAGATACTACACAATTACACACCTCTACTTCGTTTCTCCTCTTCCCATACAAGACCCAAAAACTCTTCTTCTTCTTCCTCTTCTTCTTCTTCCACTTCTTCCTCCTCCTCTTCTTCTTCTTCCCTCCTCGTCCAAGCACCAACTCGTCGTCCCCCGATCCAAGATCACAAAGTTCACCACCACCTCCCTCCCCCCTCGTGCGTGTCACCTTCGACGCACCCCTTTCAACGAAGGGGAGAGTTCTTCGCCCTTCCTCTTACGCCCGCCTTCTTGCACAGTTCCAGGCGCGTTCTGTATCTGGCCGGCTTCGGTTCGCGGCTGGAACGCCGACTGCCACGGAACCCCGCCGCGCAGAGCAGAATGTTGCCGCTCTCGTCTGACGACGGCGACGGCCTGCGCGTTGCCACGGCTCGCGGCGGGGGAGAAACCGAGAGAGAAAGCGAGGGGAATGCACGCAGGATCGAGCGCCGCCAGGCTTTGGGCGGAGGGGTGGGGGGTTGCGTGGCGGAGGGGGAGGGGGTAGGAAGTTAGGGTGGAAAGGAAAGGGTGGTTTTACGAGAGGGTGTTTATGGGCGAGAGGGGGAGGTGGTCAGTGGTGAGGGGAGGTAAGATTCTTCGTGTAGGTTGGGCGAAGATGTTCGTTTTTGGAGAGAGGGAGGGAGGGGGGAGATGAGTTTGGAACGGAGAGGGTGGATTAGCGACAATACAGGGGAGGGAAGTTTTATCGAGGGAGAGGAAAGATGTGGATTTTTTTTTTTCGAGAGAGAGTGGAGAGATGAATGGTAGAGGCTTTTCGATTTGTTTGTCGCTCGGGGTCGGGTCGTCATTTGTCTGATATTTTAATTGTTATTAGGTATACTGGTATCGATAGAGATTTTTCTTTTTTTTTCTTTCAAGCGTGTCGATGAATATTTCGTTTCGATGAACCGGGGAGAATAAAGGAGAATAAGGATAGAGTTATTCTCTCTCTCTTGTTAACGAGAATAATTTAAAGGAAAGGGTAAAGGAGTAATTTAGTAGGGTTATTAAATACTCCATTGTGCCCGCGTTTACGAATCGCAAACAACAACAAATTAAGATAATTACACGAATAAATATATAATTCTCTCTCTCCTCGGAATTGTTCGCATTTCGAGCATTAATTTAAATTACGTCAATCATTGAAACAAGGAGAATTACATTTAAAACGCGTGTAAAAATATAAAAATTTTATTTCGAGAGAGAATGGGAGAGAAACAAGGACGAGGACTGAGAGTAAAAGTGAACTTGGTGGAGAGAAAGAGAGAAAAATAGCCTAGCTAGCCTCATAGATATATTCCTTAGGAAGGGAAAAGGATAAAATGCGTGGAAATACTCGAAGGAGTAACAGAGAGAGAGAGAGAAAGAGAGAGAGGGAGGAAAGGAGAACGTGTTCCTTCAGGAGATATGGATGGATAGGGTAAATGAGGGTTGTCGAAGGCGGTCGAAAACGGCTTTTTACGGAGAAAAATTCGATAAAGGGAAAAATATCTGAGGAACATTCGGTGGAATAACGAGAACGAGGTGGCGTGAAAAAAAAAGTGGTATTCAGAAAAGAGTGCGGCGATGGAGATTAGGGGTGAAAGGGGTGGATTCGCGTAGGGAGAAAGAAAAGAGAAATCCGTGGATGCGATGGCGATGTGCGAATGGGTGGAGGTGTGAGAGGTAGGGGGGGAAGAAACAAACAAAAAGAAAAAAAAAGGAAGAAAAGAAAAGAAAAAAGAAAGATAAAATAAAATGGAGAAGAGTGGTAATGCGAGAGGTTTCGCTGTAAAGGGAATGGAGAGGACAATGCGTGAAGAGGAAGTATAAATGGAAGTATAAGAGAATATATAGGGCACCTGGTTTGAGTGGAAACGCTTAAATATCTGGGAAATATACAAGAGAGTTGACAACGTTCTCTGCGTTTTGAAATTCACATGTTCAAATGTTTTCAAAGTGTCAAGATATAAAATATTTGATTGATGTAGAGATTGCTTTGCAAGAAATGAAGTTTTGTATGATATTGTGATTGACGTTGAAATATAGTTCAAAATATTTTTATTTGAAATTTTTGGAGATTGCTGTATAAGAGGGAAAAAAAAAAAAAAAGACAGCGCATGACGAAAGGATAGGAAAGGAACAGAGATAAAATTTGAAACGTTTCTCAGGTATATATTTAAGACGTCGAGTTAAAACGTAGAAAGGAGTTAAGCATCTGGAAAATAATGAAGATTGGAAGGAAGGAAATATTTGGCGCGAAAATATATGAAGTGTGAAAGGAGATCAGTTCTCGTATCTTATAGCTTTCATAGTTATAAGTTTCAGCAACTTTAAGAAACTCTGACAAGATCAGGATTAGATTTTCATCAAGTGTATACAACGAATATAATAATAATAATAATAATAATAATAATAATAATTATTATTATTATTATTGTATTTTGAAGTTTTTTATTTATTTATTACATTTAAAAAAAGTTGACTGGGTTATTTAATTTTCAGTTTTTCACACAAATGTTTTTTTTTTGTAAATTGTAGTATATATACTTGGGTCTTATTTGCCAAATATTAACTTTTCATGTATGTCAACTTGAAAGTAACTGCATTAGCATAATCCCGTGTAGATTTTCATATAGAGAAGTGGTTAATATATGTATATATACATGGCACTAAAATGTCGATGTCATATTAACTTTAAAAATTCAAATATCTTGAAAATAACTCGACGAAATATTGTAATTTTTTTTCCTGAAAATTTGTTTGGTTGCAAAAAATATAATAAAAATAAATTCGAGAAGGTTTAATCACTTTAAAATTCAATGTATGAAAAATTCTTAAAGGAAATTCTTTTTTAATATAATTCTATTCTGAAATTTTTTCCCATATTTTCTGTATTTTCGATATTTTTTTCTATATTTTTATTGTAACGCTATTGAAAAGTGTTGATAATTGAAATATGGAAACAATATGTTTCTTTGGATAATAATTAGGAAAAAAAATATTATTTCGAGATAACATTATTATGTATAAAATAAGGTATAAAAACTTTTGTATTCATAATACAAAAGTTTGAGAAATTATATGTTTAATAATAGAACGAATTTCTATATTTCTATATTACTTCCTGTTCATGTACATGTACATGTCTCAAATAAATGAATTTTTGTAATTATTCATATAAATGTATTTTAATTATTATAAGATATTTAAAATAATTAACACGATAAAAATTGATAAAAAAAATTCACAAACTCGAAGAATTAGAATTTTATGAAAATTTTATAAAAATCATTTCAAGAATTTTCATTGCATTATAAATAATTAACGTATAAAAAATTCTGAAATTCTGATTGATCAGCTGACAATATCTACTCTCGAGTGTTCTTTTCTGCGTTCTTGAGTATCTCTAGTGTATTTGGAACGATGCCAGATCTCTCCCTGAGTTTGTTATGATTGGCGATACGTTAAACAACTACTAAAGTGTTAAACAAATCTCATTGTTCAATTTTAAAATTTCGAAAGCATTTTACTTCTTAACTGTTACTTCAATTATAAAAAAAAAACTCTTCTAATTAGCGAATCTAATAAAAATGAGACACGAGATGTGAAAATGAAAGTTAGAAATAAATTTTATTTCAAGAATTTTAAAATTCAAAAAGTTTAAAAGTAATGGAAAAAAGATTTGTCCAATAGATTTCTCAATAGATTTTTAGATATTATTTCTTATAAATTTTACAATTTATTGAAGCCATGCTCTGGACAGCATACGAGAATGTAAAAGAATTGAAATACCAAAAGTTTTTTATTTTGAATTGTTAACAAGAATGGAAAGGGAATTACCAGAAGGTAGATAGAATTTTTTAATAAAAGAATAAAAATATGTATTATTAATCAGGGAAAAACGAAAAGTGTAGGAAAGGTCAGGAAATTTCATAATTCCTTTATATCTGTAAAAAATACAGGAAGAAATCATTACAAAGGATTAATTAATAAAAATATAATTCAATTAACGATGAACGTTAAAAGAAAGGATAAAATAATAATGTCAAATGCTTTTTTTATTTTTAATTTTTTTTTATATTTTTTTTTATTTTAGAAAATTATCAAAAAACAGATATATGATTTATTATGAAATTATTAATTGTTAATGAAAGAAGCAGAGAAATGAAATTAAAAAAAAAGAATAAAAAAGGATAAAAGGAAGGATTGAATAAAATTAATTTAATAAAAGAAAAAGAAATAATAAAATTACCGACGAAAAAATAGGAAAGATTAAAAATTTTCAATTTTTAATTGATAGGAAAATTGTTAAAGAATAGATAAAAGAAAATAATAATAATATTGTTAGTATAAAAAAGAAAGATATAGAATTAAAACTTGAAAACCTTTTAACTTTGAACTTTGTAATAGGAAAGAGAACTTGCTATAGAGGGTTAAGTCGTAAAAAAATAATAGCATTGCGAATGAAGAGAAATAAAATGGGATAGAATGAAAATAACGTTTTCTTAAAAGAGATCGTTACCAAGCAAATAGGCAAAAAATACAAATTCACGTACAAATTTGAAGAGTACTGAGAAGCAAATTCTAATAATATACAGAATACCAAATAAATAATTAATACCAAATCTGTAATACCGTAATAAATATCAAAATGAGAATTAAAAATGTCGATAAAATTTAATACCAAAAATCAAATACCAACATAAAACCATCATAAGAGACGAACAAATATCAATTAATGCTGACAGAAAGGAAGAGGAGAAAGAACTTTCCATCCCAAGAAGTCAACAAGAACATTATTTCTCAGAAAGATATTGAGGCATTGCCAAAAAGTAGGCAAAAATTAATCATCCCCTTTCAGAAAGGGAACCAATATCAAAAACGAACGACCAAGGGGATGGAAAAAGAAAAAGTAGGAAACGAGTGAACGATGAAGGAAGCAAAGAAAGGAGTAACGAAAATTGAAGCATAAGTTGAGGATGTAACAAGGGAAAGGGGCTCGTTTTCATTCAGATCGTCGAGAAAGGAACGAGGGTGGTGAGTCAACGAAGAAGCGAACGAGATATCGCAGGAAGTGGGGGCGAAGAGTCAAAGGGGGGAGAGGAAAAATGTAA